TAGAATTGGATTATAAGAAAATGGTTATCACAATAACCCTAAGAGGAAAAAGGGTTAAACTACTAGCCTGGATATCTGTGACTGAGTGCAAGATAATCAATGGACCAATCTTATTCAAAATGGTACATGAACAAAATCTGGAGATATTTGGATGATTTTTCCAAAACCTATTCAAGTGTCCAATCCACAACTTAATGAACTCCTTTTCCAATAACAAGACATTTTTTATGAACCAAATGAATTACCCCCAAGTAGAGGGGTGGAGAATCAAACAGTTCTCAAACCACTCAGTTCCCCTAAACATAAGTATCCTTACAGAGTGTCACATGAATAGAAGAAAGAGATTAAAAGGATATTAAATTAGCTGCTAGAATCTGGGTTCATACAACCCAGTCAGAGTCCTTTTGCTTCACCAGTATTTCTAGTTAAGAAAAAGGGCTCAACCTGGAGGCTTTGTGTGGATTATAGATACATGAATGAGCTTACTATCAAGCATGATTATCCTGTACCCATCACTGAAGAATTGTTGGATGAATTGAATGGAGCCAAGTACTTTTTTAAAGTGGATTTAAGGTCTGGATTTCTAAATCCTTGTGGCCCCAGAGCATAGGTATCTCACTACATTCAACACATATAGTGGATAATATTTAACTTAATGGATTTGTTTACGAAAACCATCAAATGAAATAAATTGTACCAATCGGTGAGGGAAATGGGCTTAACAAAATACACTACAAACGAACAGTCTTAGTTGTAATCTAATGCAAGTGTGAGCGTCCTGGCCGGTTTAGAATAGATCCCCTTTCGTCCTCGCTGGTAGAACGCCGGAAACCTGCAAAAAACTCTCATAGTGGGGGGTTGTTCCGGTGAAGAGTCTCCGATGCTTAAGTAAGTATGTGTATATTTGAGTAGAATAATAGAAATCGTGTTAAGGAAGAAAGGCTCACCCCAACTTATAAAGGGGTGAGATACCTGACCTAAAGGTTGCCCGAATTTGGTGAGCTAGCTGCCCCAACTACCCGTTTGTACTCTGGCGTGCCGCGCGCATGTCAGAGGTGGTTGTCGCCATCAACCAATGCATTATCGATACGTGTCCTCTGCACATGTGATAATTATTCCTCTGAATATTCCCCTAAAATTCCGTTAGAGGCTCTTACACACGCCTGTGACTAGGTCGATCTCCAGAATACTGACAATCCATAAAGTGGTCGATCTATTGAGGTCGACTCGACTGCTCGACTGGTCGATCCTTCGACTACTTGTGATGCGCTGACTGTCCTATAGTCTTCCAGGTCTTATCTTCAAGGTGTTCGACCATCATCATCTTGCTCGATTACCACTAGATTAGTTCGGCTTCCTCGCAGTACAACCCCTTCGACCGGTTCAGCAGACCGGTTTACCCTTGCGGGTATAATATCTCATATCATAATCCAACAATGAAAATAGAATATCTCAAAACCTTGGTTCAATGGGAAACCTAAGTTTGATAGTTCAATGAATAAATATCCACTCATTTCTAGATCCGTCAAGTGTGAAATCTACTTTTAAGTCAAGGACTTTTAATGATTCTTAATACCTACGGGTGGAGTAAGAAGTGAACCTTTTATAGGAGAATCATAAATGTAAGTAGGCTCTTCAAATAAACACTTACTAAATCGAGATATCGTTCAAGGCTGAAATGGGCACAACGTGAGAACATGAAAGTGTTAGAGTTTTTGTTGTGTGAATACTATTTTATTGGTACACACAAACGACTGGAAAGTTCAATGCATTGCACTACTAACTAGCTAGTGTATTCGATAGTACTTCACTAAAAGTGATTTACAGCTACACGCTATCTATCCTGATGCAATAATGGTTCGTCGGAACTCTTAAGTATTGAATTCATGCATTAATTTCATCCATGTGAAGGATTGTTAAGAAAATTATTAGTTTACTAATTTTATTGTTCCATTTTTTTTTTTTTTGTAACTGGATGATTTAGAATAAAATCTCAAAACTATTTTATGTTGAATAAGAAATTAATTCTTCTTTGAAATGTGGGGGAATTTGAGATTATGTAAAATTGAGCTTATATAACTCAAATTTTGTTGGATTTGCAAATGTTCAGTCTTTGATTAGTGTTTGGAAAAGTCAAACGAGATATAATCATGCACTAGCCATACTAAAACTCTAGATGGGTTTGTTGACGAGTAGGAAATACAAGTAAATTCATCCTGTGTATTTGAAGTGACACTATACACAAGATAAAAATCGTCGTATCTTCGAGACGTTTGTAGAATACCGTGGACATTAATCAGTGACAATTTTGTCTTACGGAGAGCGTGTTTCAGATGTCTTGACTTTATTTCTTTATTTGATTTTTTGTTCGAGTTTGTTTGGAGATCGTGTTCATGGTTCGTGTTTGTTGTTTAATCGAACCTTTCGTCGTTATTCTACGTTCGTGCTATTTTTTATCATTCTCTAGAAAATAAATACGTACACAGATATCCAACAATTCATTCCCCATACAATTTTTTTAGTTGAGACTGTTATTGAATACAATATTTAAAGAAAAATACAATATTTTTCATCTTAAATTTTTATGTTTAATCTAATCAACATAATTTAAAAATAAAATATCAATATGTACGATAAATTTGCCTAAAAACCACTTATATAAATTTATGAACATAATTCATTACCAATTAATATTTCACAAATGCAAAATATATAATTTTTAATCATTATGCTAATTTTATATTTTTTTCACCACCTTCAATTTTTTATTATTGTTGATCCAATTTTTTTTTATGTAGAATCTATACTCAATTTCCCTTGATCATTCATGGCCGAGGAGTCAACGTGTAAGACCTTATTTTCTTCTTCTTCTATTTTTATTCATTTTTATCGTTTTAATCAAGTAAATTTGGTAAAAGTGGATTTTTATTTTTATTTTATTTTATTTTATTTTTGGGTTTGGTATAAGTGGATTATAATACAATATAGTTGAGTACAATTTGGTAGGAGTGCACATGGTTCTGTGCTAATTTATTAGTCGCTGAGATGACTCAGTCAAGTGTCAATTACTTCATCATTTCGACCTTTTTTTTT